TTATTTGACATCAATGTGCACTAAAATCAAAGATCACACTTCATTTATTACAAGGATTACATTCTGCATTAAATCCCCTTTAAAATGAAACCTCGTGGAACAGAATTGGTGAATTTTTGGAGGTCCTATGATGTTTTGAATATGTGCAAATTTTAAACCTTTTTTCTCAAAACTTGGTTTTGGCACGATTGTTCTTGCATTAATGAACGCCTCATATACACGGTAGCATTATCGAAAATGGAATGCCATATTACTAGAAGACTGTTTGTGAGCTTTATTGGTATTTTGTAAGCATGTATCAAGCCTTCAACTTGATGTTATTATTTTACCTACCTTGTTGTATTAAATATATGACACTGTTGATATTACGTGTCTGATTATCATGGATAATTTAATATGACAATGTATTTTGGTGATCTGTCGGTGTAATATCTACAAGTCTGTCGAAGTAATCTGATGAAATGTCAATTTATAATTAGATGACATTATTATGCAAAATATTGTCTACATATTATGAATTATCATGAGTAAAGAGTAAAATGGGGTAGTGGATGTCTTTTTGTCTGGTATAATTAGCAGACTCAACCAGTATGATTTGGTTATAGAAACATTGTTCGCTATTAACCACATGTTCAGTTGGTGCAGGTTGAAATTTGCTTGACTCAGTGTGGCTGAGGATCTCAACTGTCCAAAACCCTTGGGAGGGTAGTCAACGCATGAGCTCTATGCGACCCTGTGTTTGGGAATCACTGCTCTAGGATATGGAAGAACAGTGGGATAATGAAAGTAATATTCTGTATAAATGTAATGGTCATTTTGTTTTTGCACTATGCCTACTGATATTAATTTTATATGTTTTAAGTGCCATTTATTATAAAAATTTCACTTTTTTCACAGGTTACCTTAAGTTGCTTAGGTTGTCTACAGGCTCTCTTCATCAAGTCCTCTGAAGCAAATTTGTTTCTTCTAATTTGTAGGGTCATTGATGGCCCTATTTCCTCCAGCTCCACACGTGGGATTCTTGTGCCAGATTTCTTCAGTAATATTCTAAGGTGCAAAATTAATGAATTAAATAAACTTACCCATCATACATAAACAGTTTCAAAGCATTTCAATGAGATTTAAAAAGGTGCATAAATAAAAAACTTCACAATGAAGTCAAGAAATTGCCAAGATGTAGGTATAACAAGAATAGATATGCTGTGTGCCCTACAAAAATTAAAGCTAAAGTAACAAAAATACATTATAATATGAGAAATGGCAAATTTCCTCTTCCACAGAAAACATTCCTAAGTCCAAGCTTTTGTATCATTATGAGTTTATGAACAAACCCATGGTTAGCATGTATATTTTCTACCACTTCAGCCCAGCTGTGGGATGGAACTCATTGAAATAGAAGGTAAAAGCAAAAAAATTCTGTCCATAACAAACCTAGTAAATTTTTTCATTAATTACAAAATTAAAGGGGCATTTAAGATATGGACACTAGATTTATTTAATCCATCCATCTAATTCATGAACCTTGAATGCAGTACACAGAAGTTAAAAAGAGCTAACTGGAACATATATTCTAAACTGATATGGAAATGATGCACAGAAATTATAAAGCTGTTATACCAAATTGTGATCTTAAGATCTTAATCCCACCCATCATTTGTACTGCTTTTCCGAACCGCCGTACATCCCAAATTCTATACAGGGGGTCCCCGACTTACAAACGGGGTTAAACTTGAAATTTACCTAATGACTAATTTTTTACTTTCATTAATTCTATTTTGTCATTCTAGTTCTTTTCTCTTAAATTAAGTGATTTTAGATGTATATAAGGACTTAGGTTATGATATAGTGAGATTTCAAACATTGTTCTGTACAGTAAGTACGGTATGCACGTAATTTGTGTTCCAACTTCCGTACAAATCCAACTTAAGTGTACGTCCTTAGGAACGGAACCCGTTCGTAACCCAGGGACCCCCTGTATGTCCAGTATGTATGTATGTATGTAATTCTGATTTATTTTCTATCAATGTATGCATGATCAAAATAATCACAGTACAGTACAGTGGACCCCCGATTAACAAACACGATTAGTTCCACAGAGTCGTTTGTAACCAAAAATTTCGTTAACTGAATCTATTATTTCAATGGGATATTGGGCAATTGGTTCCAACTCACAGAAAAAGTACATACAATGTAAAGCCAAAAAATGCATGACGTCAGAAACACTCCTAAAAAACCCTAAATCACCCTTAAATCACTATACAGTATTACCCCGCTATACGCTTTTTTTTTTTACACGTTTTCACGTTTACGCAGTACCCTGCCGAACACGGAATGCTCACTTTACGCGGTGCGTGTACTCTTTTACGTGGAGAGCGGCTGACGGTCCTCTCGCACCGCGCCATTTTTGGATTCAAACCTCCCGCCATGTTGGGTAAGCGGCGCGAGTAGGTTGCGCAGTGTATGTCTTTGTTGCATTATCGGTGATGTCATATGACGTATCGGACTGTGATTGGGCCAAGCATCCTTACCTCCCTCCCCCGCTAGCTGTGATTGGTTTAATGTAATATGACGTGCCCCGCCGAGGGAGCGTTCGAGCCCGTTGACCTACCAGCGTCAGTTACACCCCTCCCGGCTACACCACGTATATCGGTATCTATTGTTCCATAAGAATGGCTTCCACCGGACCACCACCACAAAGAAACCTTGCATTACCTGGACCCAGCCGCCCTAAGCCAAAGAAGATACGACGTTCCCTAAGCTACAAAATTAAATACAAGATCATCCAAGAGTTGGAGAAAGGAACAAGACAGGTTGATCTCGCGCGCCAGCATGGTGTTAACGAATCTACGATCCGGACGATCAAGAAGGATGCAGTCAAGATAAAGGAGCACATGAACATCACAAAGTCTACAGGTGCTTCTATGATCAAGTATTGCCACAACCAGGTGCTTCTCAAGACGGAGAAATTACTTGTGAGCTACTTGATTCGTCAGGCAAGACGGAACATGGCGGTGGACACGCGCTCAATTAAGGAGTACGTGAACTGTATGCTGCAGTGTCACGTAAGATGGGAATTGCTGAGCCCAAACCCTTCAATGCTTCTTCTTGGCGGTTGCAGAGGTTTAAGAAGAGGAACAAGATCACCAATATTAACATTGGTGGTGAAGAAGCTAGTGCTGACTGTGTTGTGGCTAGAGATTTTCCTCCATTTTTACGCGAGATTATGGAGGAAGGACAGTACACCGACGACCAGGTGTTTAACATGGACGAATCCGGTCTGTTTTACAAAAAGGTACCTTCCAAGACCTTCGTTGTGAAGAATGCCAGCAAGTGTCGGGGCCGGAAGTTGCAGAAGGAGAGCATCACCGTCCTGTTTACCACCAATGCCTCCGGTACTTATAAGCTCAAGTTATCGGTGATCCACACAGCCCACAAGCCGCACGCCTACAAGAACGTGGACATGACCAAGCTAAATGTCCACTGGCTAACCGGACGTAAGGCGTGGATGTTCGCTGCTCTGCCCGTCTCCTGGTTTGATGACTGTTTCGTTCCCGACGTGAAGAAATTCTGTGAGCAACAGAATGTTCCATTCAAGATTTTGTTGCTGCATGACAACGCACCAGGACACTCGCCCCTACTGTTGGATCGTCACCCCAACGTAAAGGTGGTCTTCCTCCCTCCCAACACTACGTCATTAATTCAGCCCATGGACCAAGAATTGATCTGCAATGTGAAAGCTGCATTCTCTGCAAAGAAGTTTAAGCTCCTGAACAACTATACCAACACCAAGGATGAGTTGCGTAACCTGGGTGACACCGATAGCAAGAGCGAAGAGGGCGAGGAACAACAGTTGGCAGAGCAAGAAGTACTTTTGAAACACTTTTCGAGAAAATTCAACGCCAAGAAAGCTGTGAACTTGTTGGTGGAGGCATGGGATCAGCTGTCTGTAGCAATGGTTCGTCACGCATGGAGACATGTGTTGCAAGGTATTCCAGGTGGGAGGCAGAGTCAATCTGTGACTGGTGAGGTTCAGACTGTTGCAATAGCAGTGGAGCTTGCCAGAGAAGCTGCGCAGTGTTACAGCTGCAGGCTTCTCCAAGACCACCAACGACGACATTATGGAGGTGATAAGGGATCCTGATGTGACTGCCGAAGAGAAGTTAGATGATGATGACGTCAGTGAAGAGGCAGGTGGTGCGTCATCCCAAGAAGAACGCAAGTTATCGCACATTAATGTAACGGGTGCCATCGAGTGTGTAGAGAATCTCAAGCTCCTCCTTTCCGACGACCCTGACGATAACCGGTATGAAGTCTTCACTACCCAGCTGTTGCAGACTATGGAGCCCTACATCAAGGTGTATCAATACAACATCAACACTAGCCGTCAACAAAGCATTACCGAGTTCTTCGCCTGCAACCCACCACAGCCAGCCCAAGCCAGTGAAAGTGATGGTGACTTTGAGGGATTTGTCAGGGAGGCACTGATAAGTGTGGATGACAGTGATGATGACTCACCTGAGGGCCAGTAGCCTGCCCTCTGCCTAGAACCAGCCTCCATTCCAGTACGCCGATCCATCTCTTCTACTAACATAAGTTTTAAACCTAACCTTGATTTTTTCTAACCTAACCTACAGCATATTATTCTCTTATTGATTGTTCTCTTCCATATTATGTGTGTGTGCATACCATCATAAAGTTAAGATGTTATTTTTACTAAAACGTAAATATTGTGTCGGGAAAAAGTGGAGTTTGGGGGTCGGCCCGGTATCTATTTCAATTAATCCCATATGTTATGTTGTTCACTTTACGCGGGCCTCTGTGGATTCAATTGACCGCGTAAAGCGAGGGTTGACTGTATATACTGTATATGTATATATACAAGTAAATCACTGTGGGTGCGCGTGATCCAGGTATATGCTGATAACCACAAGGAAAGAAGAAAACATGTGTTTTCTTCTTTCCTTGTGGTTATCAGCATATATATATAAATATAAATATATATATATATATATATATATATATATATATATATATATATATATATATATATATATATATATATATATATATATATATATATATATATATATATATATATATATTTCATGTAAATCCACAATGAAAACGTGGATAAGATAAATCTTGATAAAATCACACGGGAAAATGGAAACAACGGAGTACCTTAGCTTTCGTCTTTATTCAAGACATCTTCAGAGGCAACTGGATTACATGGACAGAGAGAGGCTTAAATATACAGGGTGACCTAAAAACATGAGGTCAGGTCATAATGATGACATCCACTAATCCCCACACCAACACACACGTAGAGGAGCTTAAGAGAAGGGTGGTGACGTGACTAGCCAGGTCAGGTCAGAAAAAAGGGACCCACAAAATAACTATCATACATCTAGATCAAAGGTTTTCAAAGCATTTTTAACCTTGGGCCACTGACAAATAAATTTATGTAACATATTATCAGTTTTGAACTGACCATCACTAAGGTTTATTGATTTTAATTCCTTAATCAAACTAGCTTCAACCAGAAGTCTTTCTGTGACACAAGATGATTTGAATACTTCTAAGCTTTTATCCCAAGCAATGGGGTGATTACTATTCCTAACATGAACGAACAAGGCACTGCTTTCAGATGCAGTTCTGATATTATACTTATGTTGTTTGATTCTGAGCTGCAGTGTTTTTCCTGTCTGACCTACATAATTACAATTACATTTGCTACATGGAATACAATAAACACTTCCATTTACATTCAAACTTGGGCTATTCCTAATTAACATATTGGTAATGGTTGAGTCATACTTGAAAACAACATTAATATTTAGAAGCTTGAGGGACCGAACTAACGGGACAAATTCATTACGATAGGGCAGAGTCAAAATATTCTTAAGTGTAGGAACTTGTCTGGTTTGAGAGGAATGAAAGGATTTTTTAGCCCTTTTAAAACAACGATCAACAAACACAGAAGGGTACCCAAGTTTCTGTGCAATAGAACGAATGTGTTTCAATTCATCGTCAATAAATTCAGAGTC